CATTTAACTTAAATACTGAATTTCGTGGCCGAATATACGCTATTTTTATGTCTTTTTTTTTATGTATTACATACATTTTATATGTCTGAGATTTAAGTGTCATTAAAAACGTGTTATGTATTTGATACATTTAACTTAAATACTGAATTTCGTGGCCGAATATACGCTATTTTGATGTCTATTTTTCTATGTATTACATACATTTTATATGTTTAAGATTGAAGTGTAATTAAACGTGTTATTTCTGGGGGTATCTTTTTAAAATTATTTTACTTGATTTTAAAATTTTTACAAGTCATTTTAGCCTCACTTTTAAGATTTTGGAGCCTACATCTTACAAACGGGAATACTGTATGAGATATACGGAAATATCCGAATGAGAATATGGCAATAGTTTGAACAATTTTGGTAACAATACCAATGTTTCGTTTAATCACACAATGCTTTATCATTGATAGAGACCCTTTGGATGAAGTTTAACTATTATTATTTTATCCATGGTATTTACTTTATATTTTCTAGGAAAACATTTCTGTTCCATAATAAAATGTTCGAACTTTATTCAAACACAAGGAGATCAAATGTTCAACAACCACTGTCGCCGTCATCAGGATAATTAATGACCAATCACTTCAAACGTATTTTGATATCTCTGTGTAATCCTTGTGTTGGGATGATGAAGTTCAACATTTTACTATGATTTAATACCAACGCAGATGAACTTTCGTGATAATTTTCCAAATGTTTCTATTGGTGGGAGGGGCACAAAAACTAGCCTGGTTACCAAACCTATCACCAAAGTTACCTGGTTACCAAAGCTATTTGCGTAGAGGCTGTAGGACTCGGGATCTATAATATAGGTTTGGTAACCAGGCTACACAAAAACGAGCAGCAAAAACTTGAAATAGAGTCACGTCCGGCCCGCGTCAGCACGGCGTCCGGTTTATTGACCGTGAGGAGAGGCGAGCTCCTCCATTTCCAGAGGGGCCCATTTGACTTTTAGGGCACCGAAATGGGTGTCTGGTAGGTCTTTTACCCGCGTAAAGCTCCGACAAGCCGATTAAATATTAACCCGATGAAAATCATTGGCTTCATGCATGGGTCGGTGCTGGGACGCCCTTACAAGTAATACAAGAGGGAGAATCGACCCTTTCGGTATAGGCCAGTGGTGGTTCATAGAGGGGTATACACGGCCGTACTTCGTCAGAATACGTAAGAAGAATACGAACAAGGAGATTCGAACTTGACAAAATGCCAAACTCACAACCATAGCGTCGATCAGATAGCTTTATGGAAATACTTTGATGTTAATCGTTGAAGCTTAACAAGGCGCGATCGTTTGGTCCAATGCCGTAATCCGTGTATGCATAGTTTTTGGAAAATAAATAAAGACAAAGGGTAAAGAAATTGGTACGATAGGAAAAGGTGTTGGGATTTGAGACGGATTCCTCTGATGTATATACAGATTCTGTGATGTATTTCACGATTGCGCCTTGCATACTGCGTGTTTTACAACTAAAACGCCGGGCCATTGCGCAACCAATCGGAATCCGCTTCTCCAATAGCTGCAGCTGACCTTTCTGCCACAAACGATGAGGTCACTTTTTTCCCCTCTGACACGCGTTCGGAGTGGTTGATTTGGCCGGATCCCTTCTTTATAACTCATCTGACCTCCATCACGTAAATAATGGCCATGGTTTGCTCTGAAGACTTTTAAAACTGCCGTTTTAATCGCAAAATGATGCCGTGTAATTGATGGCTGGTGGCGAATTTGTAGTTGATTTGGCCAAATCCCTTCTTCACAGCGCTTCTGACTTCCATCACGAAATAAATGGCAATGGTTTCCTCTGACGAATTTTTAAAAACTGCCGTTTTAATCGCAGAATAATGCCGTGTAATTGATGCCTAATGGCGAATTTGTAGTTTTTTGGCCGAATATTCCTTCTTCCAAGCGCTTGTGACCTCCTTCACAAAATGAATAGCAATGGTTTCCTCTGACGAATTTAAAAAAACTGCCGTTTTAATCGCAGAATAATGCCGTGTAATTGATGGCTGATGGCGAATTTGTAGTTTTTTGGCCGAATATTCCTTCTTCCAAGCGCTTGTGACCTCCTTCACAAAATGAATGGTAATGGTTTGCTCTGAAGACTAAAAAAACTCCGTTTTAATCGCAGAATAATGCCGTGTAATTGATGGCTGATGACGAATTTGTAGTTTTTTGGTCCGAATATCCTTCTCCAAGCGCTTGTGACCTCCATCACGGAATAAATGGCAATGGTTTCCTCTGACGACTTTTAAAAACTAGCCGTTTTAATCGCAGAATAATGCCGTGTAATTGATGGCTGATGGCGAATTTGTATACTTGGCCGAATTCCTTCTCCAAGACCGTGTCTCCAACCGCTTGTGACCTCCATCACGAAATAAATGGCAATGGTTTCCTCTGACGAATTTAAAGAAAACTGCCGTTTTAATCGCAGAATAATGCCGTGTAATTGATGCCTAATGGCGAATTTGTAGTTTTTTGGCCGAATATTCCTTCTTCCAAGCGCTTGTGACCTCCTTCACAAAATGAATGGTAATGGTTTGCTCTGAAGACTTTAAAAAAAACGCCGTTTTAATCGCAGAATAATGCCGTGTAATTGATGGCTGATGGCGAATTTGTATATTTGGCCGAATTCCTTCTTCACAGCGCTTCTGACCTCCATTAGATAAATAATGGCGATGGTTTGCTCTGACAACTTAAAGAAAAAACTGCCGTTTTAATCGCAGAATGATGCCGTGTAATTGATGGCTGATGGCGAATTTGTGACGAGATTATTACAGATGCTGCGGGCAACGCTCGGCAGACGTGACGCGACCCCAGAATGTAACTTTAAAGCAGCGAATGACGCCTGGCTGCTGAAGCTTTAATCCCCACATTCAGTAGACCCAGACGGGGGCCTGCCTACCCGCTAATACCGGCTTAAAACACGGCATACACGGAACACTCAGAACGGTCATCCAATTGTTTTTACTTCAACATTTGAACATATCAATACATAGTGGTGACGCACTCAAGCTAGATAGCTTTCAAATAAATGCGGCATACATGTAACAGTCGGAACGGTCATCCAATTTTTTCATTATTTCAATTACATCAGTTTTTGACATAGCTATAGTTCTAGACAATTACCTTTTCATATTTTGTACTCTCTTTCAATGTTCTTTCATCTTAGTTATTTGCAATTAGCCTGCGGGCAATAAACGTATCAATACCTTCAATATCTATCCAGTTGCTTGAGTAACTGCTTTTTGGCGTATCGTATTACCTGGATGTCTAACCTTAATCGAATTCGAAATATCTTCAACATTTAAACAAAACAAAACAATACATAGTGGTGACGCACTCAAGCGAAATAGCTTATATTAACGTAACCACTTCTAAAATAATAATTACAACAAAACCAAAAATATCAAATAGGTCATCGAATTTTTTATTTCAACGTTTAAACAAAATAATACATAGTGGTGACGCACTCAAGCTAAATAGTCTATATCAACGTCACCACTTATTTCTATGTGTTATTTAGTTGATTCATTTTATTGGCTGATTTATAAATTTTATGCAATTACTTTTTATCTAATTTCTTTATAATGTTTGTATGTATGTATGTAAGTATGTATGTACATGTATGTAAGTATGTATGTATGTATGTTTGTATGATTGTATGTATGTATGTTGCCATGGCCCATATGAGGCAAATGGCAAAGGTAAATTTAATCAAACAGTATTGTATATTTGTTATTATTATGTATTGTAATGTTTAAACGTTGAAATAACAAAAAGTTTCATAATTGAGCGGATGGATATATGTAGCTAGCACGCTAAATTCAATCAAACGGTTTTGTATATCGAATAAAAAAGTTTTATAATTGAGAGAATTGATGTATGTAGCTGGTACTCTAGATTTAATCAAACAGTATTGTGCATCTTTTACCACTATGTATCTGTTACCAGTATGTATTGTTTTGTTTAGCGTTTGAAAAAGGCAGAAGTGAAGTTTTATAATTGGGCGTATTGATGCATGTAGCTGGTATTGATGCATGTAGCTGGTAAATTAAATCAATATATAAATATAAAAAGTTTTATACTTGAGAAGAATGATGTATGTAGCTGGTACTCTAAATTCAATCAAACGGTATTGTATATCTGTTACCACTATGTACTGTTTCGTTGAAAGTTGAAACAATGAGAGAAGTAAAGTTTTATAATTGAGCGGATTGATGTATGTATCTGGTACTCTAAATTCAATCAAACGGTATTGTATATATCTGTTATCACTATGTATCTGTTGCCATTGTTTAGTGACTGTAGCTGGTAGTAGCTGGTACTGTTAATTCAACCAAACGGTATTGCATATCTGTTACCATCATGTATTATTTTGTTCAAACGTTACGACAAAAAAGTTTTATAATTGAGAGAATTGATGTATGTAACTGGTACTCTAAAGAGAAGTAAAGTTTTAAAATTGGGCGGATTGATGCATGCATCTGGTACTCTAAATTCAATCAAACGGTTTGTCTCCGCCTCATTGCGCGTGGCATGACGTACGATCGGTGCTAATGAAAGAATCTGCTCGGCGGATTACGCTCTGATTAGTGACAAGGGTGCAGACATGACGAACGGCAGTTCTGGCAGCCATCTTGAAAGATGGTCGCTTTTAAACCGTGGGAGAACATTTCCGGTCACCGTGAGGCATTACAGAACCGTCCCCCTCCATTACGCGGGAAGATAGAGCGTAAACGCTGCGCTTGATGCCAGAAAGATGGCGAAATTTCCTGACCCGACAACCAACCTTGGCGAAGGTCGACCGCGGCACTTACCTCCTCCTCTAGTTTTCCGTTCCGAGCACCAACTCATTATTACGTCGCGGACTTAGTGTTTAGGATCATCCCGGGTTTTTTTCTATTGGTACACCCAATAGACGCGTGCTAGCTCTCTCCCCCCTCGGTCTGGACTTTCTACGTGATGATTGCTGCCAGTTGAGTCTGGGCGTCGGCGGAGACAGAAACCCCCTCCCCGCCTCCGGCAGGTCAGAGTTGGCCGGCAGGTAAATAGGCAGATTCCAGCAGACGCGCAACAACTCACGGAGGAGAAGCAGCTTCCCGGCATTTTGGATGCCGCAGTCCCTCCCTCCTCTACCTAACCCTCGCCATGCCCGGGTACTACTACCACATCAAGATCCCGCAGACCACTCGCCAGGGAGGGTCGCCAAGGTCCGGGAGGGACAAAGATGGCAAAGGGAAGGACAAGAAAGACCCCAAGGCCACCGCAGAGAAGGAGAGGCGCAGGGACACTGTACGCGAGCGGTCAGCCAGAGCGCCTCCAGCCGAAAACAAATCCTGGTGGTTCCCTTACGAGAAGAAGGTCCACCTGATGGTGTTCACAGCCGTGGGGGTGATTTGTATTATCCTGGGTCTAGGCAGAGGTTTGAAGCTGGAGGAAAGGGCGCTGGGAGCAGTGCTGTTCTCCTTCGGACTCTTCGTTCTTGTGATGATAGGGGTGTGGCTGCTCAAGGTGTACATCGTCGCCAGAAGGGAGAGGAAGAGAAAAGAAGAAGAAGGAAGAGAGGGAAAAGAGGGAAGGTAAGATAGAAAGAGTTTTCTTCATCCTTTAGGAATGTCAAAGTAAAATAAGTCAGCTTTAGTGCACTAGAGATGCAGCTGTTAAAAATCTCGGTATATTTCCATTTCGAGGAACCGGTGTCTGTAGAATAACAATGAAGGTGTTTAATAGACCAGAAACAAAAGGTATGCAGCGGTCAGGGCTACAGGAATCCGTACGATTGGAAGCATGTAGGGACACGGGCAAACCGCCACGCATCCGGCGTGTTAAACACGTTACTGCGTAACAACAGGATCGGTCCATGCGGACACAAGCGCTCGATGGGAGCCACCCAATTTAGGGACGGCTAATTGTCGCCGATAATTTGCGAGCCAACTTTTAATTCAACCCACGCAGAAATCATTCAAATTCGGTTCGGGACAAGGCGTTCGAGGAAGCGTTATTTGGCAATCACCGATGTCCTCCGGCCGTGGTGCTGGACCCGATCGTTAAACCAAATCAACTGCTGTGGTCTCCTGGTCGTTAAGACGGAATGAAGTACAACGCTTAGTATTCCAGCCACTCCGTCCATCCTGCGCGGCATTGCAGAATGATTTCCGGTATAATTAGTTTCGCAAACTGCAGATAGCGTCGCGCGAATCTCGCAGTAGGAGGTCAGACCTTAATCTCGGTCTGCTTTTAAAAAGGCTCCAGGCGAAACCAACAAAAAAAAAAGAATGTCATTGATAACTCTTTTTTTCTATTCAAACATTCATTACAAGACACGACGGCGGCACACTCAAATTTTTCAACTTTATGCCGCCACAAACGCAGACAAACGCATCATCGGACAACAGACATACTCATTTCCCCCTGAGTTTATGTGAGGAAATTCGTGTCAAGTGCCTTTTTAGGGCACAAGATCGGTGGCATAGCAGGATTCGAACTCGGGACCTCATGATTCCGAGCCGAATGCTCTGCTGTTACGCCACACGGCCCCACAACTTCAGACATACCCATTTTCACCTGAGTTATGTGAGGAAATCCGTGTTAAGTGTCATTTCCAAGGGCACAAGATGAAGATCGGTGGCATGGTAGGATTCGAACTCTGAACCTCTTGATTCCAAGCCGAACGCCACAACTTCAACACTGATAAATCCTTCCATTTGCCTTCCCTTCCAGGTCTCCCAATCCCGTAAAAGCGAAGCGGACGTACGAAACCCTGTCTGCGGCTAGACTGGGCAAAGACCGGCAGGCCCGCGCAGAGCAGTCTCGGGCCCTTCTGATGAAGTCGCCCTCGACAATAACGACGAGCCCCGAGAGCGAAGACATGCCGCTCCCGTCAGAGCAGACGACTCCCGAGGCCGAAGCCGCCCCTCCCCCGTCCTATAATGAGATTGTACAGGCATGAAGGACATACAGGCAATGCCAGAACGAACGTCCGAATCTCTCAGTGTCCACTTCTCTCTAACAGTCAAGACGTGACTATCAGGACTGCTGAAGCGAGACAATTACACATTTCTTGAAAAACACCGGAGAGATGTCTGCACGTTATAAGACGTTTCACATAGGGCAGGCAATGACAGAACGAACGCCCGAATCTCTCAGTGTCCACTTTTCTCAGACAGTCAAGAAGTGACTATCAGAACTGCTGAAGACAATTACACATTTCTTGAAAAACACTTGGAGAGATGTCTGCACGTTTTAAGACGTTTTCAATCTTCTGGTGGATGCAATACAAGGACTTGCAGGAAATTGTGGATACGGCAATTTGCGGCTGCAATAGCCCTAGAAGGAGTAACCAGCAATAACTAGGAGAGGACTGGAATTGTTGTCATTTCCCCGGTTATGTTAGTGGGGTTACGTAGAGGCCAAAGTGTTCAGAGGTACATGTGTTTTCCCAGTTTATGGCTAGACCAAGTGATGCCCCATCTGGTGCCATAACGAGTGTTGTTAGGTGGACTTATCCCCGCATTTATACGCTTACGAGCTGAAGGAAATGCCCTTTCTATTAATTCCCTGCCCGTTATACGGGCGGCCCTTCCGTAAGGGAACATCACGACTTCGTAAACTATTTCCTACCCTATCAGGCGCGCAAGATGTGATTTTTACCGCCGCTTAAAACAGCAAGTCATCAGCCCACAAGTTGATGGTCGAAAATAGCACCGCACTGCTCTATGCAATAATCCTTACCCTGCCATTGGGTGTAATATAGAAAGTCTAAAACCAACTAGACCGACTGCATGGCATACATGTAGTTTACAACAAGCGCTATAAAACAAAAGCAAGCTGCACATGTCGGCACTAAAAAATATACTTAAGATATTGCAGAGATATATAGATATACATATATAGATATACAAACTTGTCAGGCCACTGCAAATATTGTATATATATATAAAGATATAAACTATATTCATGTTGTCGCTTACATGTTATAGCCAGCGGCTTTAAACAGTGTATAATAGTACCTATATTGTAAAGCGTATATTGTTTTGCTGACTTATATCTCACTATATGATATGCATCAAGCCATTTTTTGAAGTTTAACAATCAAAAGGGATTGCTTTGAAGAGCCTTCGTTTGTCTAACTGAAAAAGAGCAATCGAGATCCTTATTTTTTAACAGAAATTGGTGTCCGGTTGAGAAATTTAGACGAAAGTTTCTAATTATACTCGAGGAGTTAACATGGCAAAATGACACACCAAACTGTGCGCGCATCCTATAGATACTTAAGTCTAGCAATATCAATATTTTACCAACATTGACTCCATATTGTCCATTGCACGTTTGTAACACAGTATATTATCATGTTCATGGTCGATAGAATGGAAACCATTTAATCAAACATTCGTCTAAAATATAAACGTCTGTCTGTAAAAAAAAACACGTATATCAGGGCTCGAAATTTATTTTTGGGAATAGGAGCACTGGTGCACCCAACCTAAAAAAAATTAGGTGCTCAAAAATTTTTTGGGTGCACCATAAAAGATGAAAGAAGTAGAATGTCAGCAAAAACTAATTATGTTTCATTTCTAAAGAAAAGTACTATGATTTTACTATTTTTCTGACACTTATATGTTGTATACTACTATACATTTAACATATAAAATGTAAACCTACAAAATATTTGGGTGTACTGGTGCACCCACAAAACAAAATTGGGTGCACAGCTCCAAATTTGGGTGCACTGAGGTGCACATGCACCCAGTATTTCGAGCCCTGTATATATTCCAACGGTATGTTATTGTATTGACATGTCATTTAGATGAAGTGGATTGTGTGAAGCAAGCTATTTTTTGTTGAAAAAAAAACTCTTCAAAATGCTGCCTTTTCTAAAGCTTCCATGTCATAGTATGCCTCACAAACAAAATGTAACAAGTAACGACTGTGACAGCTTAGTTTCAATGTCCCGTCAGTGTTAGCATTCTAAGTGTTGAACCACGTAAGTGTGCTACAAAGTGTATGCCAAGAACTGTTGAATACAAGACTTGTTTACGACATTCTTATAGCTCTCAATCACGTTCAAAACCGACTATCGTATATAATAAAATGGATATACCTTGTCCGTCAAATAGAAGAGACTCAAATCCGCAAAATTTGAAACAGCCTATGCTATGTACATCGTCGTCCGGCCATAGCCTTGCTCTTAAGGGTCAGTTCGCCCGGAAACAATAAATATCATTAATCTCCAAGCAGATCTTTGGGTGGCTGCAAAGACAGTATCAAATTGGCCAGAAAGTATCCATTTGCCACCCGTTAGGCTAACGTAAAAACAGATATCAGTACAAACTAGAGAAGTAACATTTGCAAAGCAAATGCATAATGTTTACCTTCAGACATGGTCTGATCATGAGCTATTAATTCTTACTCAAACACATTCACAATGTCATACATGTACATGTACTACTAGTATATGGTGACAGGAGCAGAGCAGACCATGAAATTGCAACATTATGTAACCCAACACCAGTCACCATGGTGAGAGACGTCAACAAATCATGTCATTGGTTAGGTCAGAAGTCACTGTTTTGAGAAGAAGAAAAGGAAGAAACTGAGAAAAAACAATATGTTTTCCTTCGGTAAACATGAAAAAGAGAGCCCAATAAAAACGAAAAAAAAACGCCAAAAATAAACCTAAACATCTGCTTTGAGAGTAAAATATCATATCGTTCTCAGTAGCGGAAAGTTTTGCTATAAATTCCAAAGAACTAAAAACATTTCTACGTAGGAAATCAACGCTTTATTCTTGTTGCACTGCATTTCATGATGGATATTTTCCAGCCTTTATGTGCTATATAAGCTAGGCGAATCAGAGAACTCATCAGTCTATTAATACTGATACCAGAGGGGCGTAACAACGCGATATTTTTATGCAAAGGGTTAGCAGATCAACGATACCGGGCTAATGTTCCTAACTTGGAAAGATTCCAAATGGCTCGTTTTTACGCATATGGCAATTTGCTGGACTACAGGAGATACGTGTAGGTGAAGGTGAACCCGTGCAAGCGAGGAGAATCCGGAGATATATGAAAGAACAACTCGGCATGGTTGACTTCTTTCTTATCCGCGATGTTCCGAGTATGTGATGAATCCCTGTCCCATTTGTATTGGCTAATTTCAACTGATTGGTATTAAGGGTAAAAGGGACGGACTACAAGACAAGACAAATACGGTACCTTGTCACCAACTCAGTTCTATCTGTAGCTATTAACAAGAGAGATAAATAAAACTTACTGCGTACTAGACCGTCTAGCAAGATGATATAAGATCCCAAGAAATAAACTGTACTGCGTACTACTTGCAGACGTGGAAGCTGTACGATATTGCAAGAACTAAAACAAGTATTAGGTATTTCGTCTACAGTAGAAAGAAGGCAAGCTTTCTGCCATTAAAACTGATGGCTATATCAAAATACTGCTGCGTAGAGTGGAATCAGAAATCCCTGGCGAAGTTAAGAGATCGTTGAGGAAAATAAAATCCACAAAGGGCTGATCGATAGCATTTTATGGCGTGTACAAATGCGCCGGTGTTGGAAAGACACCTTCAAATGACTTGGGCAAACTTAGGGAGTATCATTTACCAGGCGCGGACCCCTGCATAAAAGAACTGCTTTTGTCCATCGAAGCGGATCTGAACTCAATAATTGAAGATATCAAAAGCTGGCGCGGTCTGGGAGAGTTGGCGGAACGTGGCTAGAATGTATCGTCTGTCTTCGCTTCAGACTTAAAAGGACCGGGAAAAGGAGAGCCTCCGCGAGAAGACATTTATCCAGTGTGAAAAATTATGCAATTTGAAAGCAATCTCAATATTTGATCTACAATCCCTGTGCCAAAGACGCGAGGGCGGTGGAAAGTTTAATGCATTGTGTTTGGGGGGATTCTTGCAAATGGATAGGCGGGAGACATAATAGCAAAGGGGACTGTTTCAAATGATAGAAAATTCCTTTGTTGCACAAGGAAATTGTTACTCAAGCAACAGTAGAGAAGATATTGAAAATAGTTCTCAAAATCTATCCAGTTGCTTGAGTAACAATTTCCTTGAGATATCTCATTACCAGTGTAACTTTCATAAACGCACTTTGCCTATTATATAGGAAATCAGTTCTCCCAATATGTTTTCCTCTTACGTTTATATTATTCGCAACTAACTATGGACATCTGCTGATATTCCGTAATTATGTAATGATATACATAATAATAACTGACATGCATTCAGCTCATAAACAGTCATAATCGTCGTAGGCCGTCGTGCGATTGTAATGTATGTCGTGGTATTTCCAATATTTGAATTATGCTTAACCTTCTATTTCGATTACCTATTTTGTGTATTCTTATACTTGTTGTTATTGACCATGTAAATTTTGATGTTGTATATGTGTTTTTTGTATGGGGGGGGGCAACTTGTAAAGGTGCGTATGTACCTGTTTTGCCCTCCCTTTCACTTTGTGAAAAATCAAAATAAACAAATAAACAAATAACCGAACCAACGGCATACAAGGATCTAACATCTACAAGAATTTTTGGTACTAAGACAGTTTCAGGACTTTACAAGACACATGCACGACTATCCCACGAATGCACTCAATCGTACGACGATCGTACAACGAATGTGGCTATCGTCGTAGACGTGGCCCGAGAACACAACCCTTATCTTGTAGATTTAGATATACATGTAGGAGTGCTTGAAAAATAGCACAGGCCTGGGGCGTAGTAGTTTCAGAACACGATCTCCCCTAGCCTTGGTGCTGATAGTGCGGCGGTTCTGACATGTACATATTCATGGATTACTGCGAGCCGAAGTAAAGAAACACCGTGGATAGGCGCTAAAACCCATTTGAAAAACAAGCGCTGCTGTTTTCTGGCTTTGTGTTTTCTCTAGTTAGACCACAGCAAGTAAATTTTATGGATGACATCCTCCGCAGACTCCAAATCTGATGCGAGAGGGCGAAAAAAACAAGACGTGACAAAATTTTTTTTTCAAATTTTGAAGTCATAAAGCATTCTAAACAAGAAATGATACCTATATTGTGCTAACTTTACTGCCAACTATCACAACATACATTTATCACCGAAGCAACTTTGAAAAAGGAAAGTTTTCAATCATTGCACAAATTGATTCAGTGGGAACATATAAAAGGAATGAAATACATCACTGCATCAAATTAAAAGTCAAAACAATAAATCAGAGCCTTGTCTTGTCTCCTCTCTTCATGTTTATCTGCCATACATGTTCCAGCATGGCAAGGGCCAAGACATGCCATTTTGGGCATGTTGACCACTGTCAAAGAGCAACAAAATTTCTTGTTTTAAGTTTTTTCCAAAATCAGTTGAAAATCAATGCGCGCGCTTATGTCATCCATAAAAATTACTTGCTGTGGCCTTACCATGGTTTTTAAAATACGGTTTCCTGGAGTACTAGTACTTAGCCAAGGAGAAAAAGCAAAAGCATGGACAGTTAAAATCCATCTTACAAAGAAAGGCTATAGGATATATTGTTTGTTTTCTGGCTTTGTGTATTCTCTAGTTACCTTGATACGGATAGTACGGCTGTTCTGACACGTATGTGTGGATACCCAAACCTGGAGAAAATAGAGACCGTGGATTAACCGTATAAGTCCAACTAATAGCCAAACGCTGTTGTTTACTTGCTTTATGTACACTTTACTAGCCTTGGTTCTGATAGTACTGTTGTTGTCATAAGTATTGTGACTTATGTATGCTCTGAACAGGAACAACAAAGACCATGAAAAGACCGTAATGCTATAACATATCGTTTTCCACCACTGTTGCACTGTGTAGCCTAGTTGCACAATGCGTTATTCTTACGTATTACCCTCCTGTTACTTAGGCCACATCAATTTAATTTCTTGGTTAACGGTTTTTCTAGAAAAATAGTGGAGCGGGTGGGCGAAAAACAACAACAATAAAACGGGCCTAGGCATCCTATTATGGTCCAAAATGGTACGACAGGAGCCACGAAGTCAACACACCAGGCTGGTTCAAAAATTAAACAATGAATTTTGAACTTTTAATGATACCACTGCATTAAAATATGGAATAACTGTAACAACTAAGACGAAAAGGACAGTTTTTAACTGTTCAGGGCAAAATATGAGCATTTTGCAGTTGATTCTGATTTTTTATTTTTTTTTGCAAATCAGAAAAAAATGAAGCAGGCGAATCCGTTAAACAAGAAATTAAATTGGTGTGGCCTTATCAGTGACAAATAGATTGTACACATTCCTTAGTATGTGGTCATTTGTCTACTTTACCCTACAGCTTTTGTGGTAGCGAACTGAGAATGGATCAGAATAGATAGAAAGTAAATGTCCCCAAGGTTTTCCATTTTTCACCCGTAATGCATTTCTTTCACATGACACTAACAAATACTTTACTTTTTAAATCATTCATGGATATTTAGAAGTACAAACTTTGTAACAATGACTTAGGAAATACTCAGAATAAACGGAAATACCACCAATGCTCTTAATTATCATTCGTAACGTATAATATCTATCGTAGCCTCCGCTCGGTAGTATCCAAATAGATCGCCCTGTCATCTTTTACGGACGTTTCTTATTTTACCTTGCCACTTTTGCAGCAGGGAGTACGAAAATGCGTTCAATAAATGAAAGTTCGGTCAATGCCCTTCCATATTTTAGACTTTCATTTTGATTCCATCGCAAGTCATCTCAACACGGTATTACCTGGTCACATATTGGCCGGGACTTCTATATTTCTCTCGTTTTTATCTTCTTTTTTCCAGCTATTCCATTTTGCTGGTTCGCTTGCGTAAATTGCCACCGAAATGTAGGTATGAAGAGGCTATCAGTAAGCTGGGAACGGATTCTGAGGTCACTACGGAACATATAACACGTACGAATGTAACGTGCATGAAGAACGAACATACTCATCAGCTTTGAACTTAAACAAGTTAAAGGCATCCAGTACAGTTTTAGTGCTTGGAAACCCAATTTTTCAAAGCCAATATTCTAGTTATTTATCTACATACTGAGTTAATACCACAGTGTCCCAATGTATATTGACCCTCATGGAGCAAAAATTCCCGAAATTCCGACGTAAAAAGGTTACTGGAAGGGCCCTGGGCTGATTTTTAGGGTACCACCCAGAAAATAAAGGACTCATCTTGGGGTTTGTTTCTGCAGTTTTAAAAGCTCAAAGTATGTAATGCTGATTTAAATGTGAGGCAGTATGTGTCAATATCACAAAGATTGCCTTATTTAGAATATTTCCAGTTTTGCTGCCCTGAAATCGCATTGGATGCCATTAACAAACATGAACACCGTATCGGTGAAAATTAAAATTAGACAAGAGAAACAATTTATTCTAATTATTTTCATCCCTCCTCTTCTCTAGTTATCCCTCTTTTGATTTTGTTACACCCCAATTAAAAACAAAGAAATTACATTTGCAGCATAGATTAACGGTGGAAAATAAAATTGTAGGGGAGATACCTTGAAGTGACTTGTACTCCGTTGCAACCAGTGCAGTTTTTAGGGCTTGGAAATCAGATTTTTCAAAGTCAATATTCTAGTCACTTATCTACATACTGAGTTGAAACTACACTATCCCAATGTATATTGACCCTCATGGAGCAAAAATACCCAAAATTCTGACGGAAAATGGTTACTGGAAGGGACCTTGGCCGATTTTCAGGGTACCTCCCGTAAAATAAAGGACTCATCTTGGGGTTTGTTTCTGCAGTTTTAAGTACCCAACGTGTGAAATACTGATTGAAATGTGCTAATGTGAAGCAGTATGTGTTAATATCATAAAAATTGCCTTATTCAGAATATTTCCAGTTTTGCCGCCCTGAAATTGCATTGGATGCCTTTTTGGATTGAAATATCTTAAAAATCCAACACATCACTACTTCGTATTTGATAACTTCAACAACTAGATTATTCCGTCTGACATTTAATTATTGCAATGTAATTTTTCCAGGTCCCACTTGAGATGATTAGACGTTACTTTGCGGATGAGACACGTTATGGCTGTCACTTCTAATTTTCTAGACTGTAAAATAAGATTTGATAATATTCTAATGACTGTGAAATAAGATATTCTAGATTACAAATTATAAAATTTTCTGCATCCTTAAGATACGATGGGTATGGTGTAGAATGCACCTTCTTGATTGTTTGTATGTTTGTTTGTGTGTGTATACGTTTGTGTGTGTGTGTGTATATATATACGTTTGTGTGTGTGTGTGTGTGTGTGTGTGTTTGTGCGTGTATGTTTGTTTGTTTGTGTGTGTGTGTGTGTGTGTGTACGTTTGTGTATGTGTGTGTATATGTTTGTGTGTGTGTTTGTGCTTGTATGTTTTGCTTCGGTGTATGGGTATGTCATCAGTTATAGGTTTATCATTCGTGTACAGGCATATTTTTCATCTACATATTAAATCCATTTTGGCACAACATTTTCATCTACAAATCTCGTTGTGTCAACTCTGATTTCATTTCTTCATAATCCTTTTAGTTCTGTGGGTGTCTGATACCATTACTTATTCTGCACGTTAATATATTCTTAAGGAATGATATGCCTTCAAGGCATAACTTAGAAACTATCCTAAACATGACATGACGCTAATTACACAAAGCACGGCTGTCATTCATGCCTCAACAGTTTTGATTGTCCAGACTAATGCATTCCTTTTCCATATTACATACGGGAAGCCTTTTTTAATTCTTCAGGGGATTATATAACTGCTGTTTATAATATGTCTTGATGCCAGTGAATTGAAATCATCGTCATTTAAGCTCCAATGCTTTTGATATTCAGTGGGATAATAGAATAGCCTGATGTAAGGTCATCATTTAACATACATGTAGACACAGACACACACATATATTCAGACACATGTGTATGAAACTGGATGGGATATTCTTATGCTTCGTGGTACATTTAATAATATTTTATTAAAGATTTCATAACCGTTGCTGGACAAGACCTGATATATTGCAAGATATTTGTGTCTATGTTTGTACCTGTTAGTGTTTTGATGATTTTTACCTATTACCATTGGTATTAAAATAAATTTTCTCTCTTATTGTTTTCTCATGTAATATTTTGCTCCTAAATTTTGTGGACTCTTTTTTGTACCATTCTCTTATGTTGAAATCTTCCATTTGTTAAAATTTCATCAACGCTCACAATGACTTAAATTAGGACTTACACTGCTTCAGCATTTTCTACAACACTTTCCTTTTAGAATATCTTGTTAACCTTTAACACACTGAAGTATAGCCAATCATTTATTTACCGGTTTTATATAGATCACGAGATTGTCAGCAGGGTAAAGGTTAAGTTTGAAGTACTTTGTTGCAAATGTAGTCCACTGCCTGAGTGAAAGAGTCACATACAGTGGTGGGAGGGGGGTGGATTTTTTCCTCATCACCAGGTCTGTACTTGCCTGGAAAGACAACAGTGAAAAATTAGAGTACTAGTACTGTTAGTTATTTATGCTTGTGATAGCAAAAGTGACCATGTTCGTGGAACTATACGTTTGCAGTGACAGCAGGTGCAGGAAAAAGAAAGTTGGCAAATTTTTCATCTGCGGTAATGACAAGTTAAATACTAGAGAAGTAACATTTGCAAAGCAAATGCATAATGTTTACCTTCAGACATGGTCTGAGCTGTTAATTCTTACTCAAACACATTCACAATGTCATACATGTACTACTAGTATATGGTGACAGGAGCAGAGCAGACCATGAAATTGCAACATTATGTAACCCAACACCAGTCACCATGGTGACAGACGTCAACAAATCATGTCATTGGTTAGGTCAGAGGTCCCTGTTTGGAGGAGAAGAAGAGGAGGAAAAAACAATATATTTTCCTTCGGTAAACATAATAAATAAAAGTACCACAAAAAAAACGTGATTTACAGTATATGTCAGGGTTGAGACTGTAGATTTTAAAATATTCCCTGAAAAGATAGTCAGCACTTTTCAACTTTGATTCATTTCACTTTAGATCAATGGAATTTTGGACTTAATATTTACTTTTTCAGCAAGTCATGATAGAGGCAAAAACAACAAATGGGTTCATATATATACATAAACAAAAAGAAAAATTATAGATAGAGGCAAAAACAACAAATGGGTTCATATATATACATAAACAGAAAGAAAAATTATAGATAGAGGCAAAAACAACAAATGGGTTCATATAAATTATATACATAAACAGAAAGAAAAATTATAGATAGAGGCAAAAACAACAAATGGGTTCATATATACATAAATAGAAAGAAAAATTAGCAACAATATATGTTACCCCATGTGTCTATCACATGATCAAACCTGGTATTTAAACCATTTGTACACAAAACCTTTTGGATCAGCCTGTTTCACTACAACATCCATCACAAGATAAGAGCAATGTTCTGCTGACAGATGCCCTGAAATGGTTGAACGGCCGAGACTTTTTGAAAATTCAGCGCTAGTAACCGGGATGCCTTTGTGCAATCAATTATGCAAATGTGTCCAGCGATGGACGAAAGACGCAATCAGGATTCAAAAGGAGCCTGTGGTTACACTGGAAATAGTCCAACTATACAGCTTCTGTAATCTGCAAAGGAGCCCTTAGAACTGTGCGGTAATTACCCAATCATGAGTGCAACTGTGTTTTCTAATGATGGTCGGCTGACAGGGGAATTGGTCGGTCGGTGAAGTTAAAGCAGGAAAAAATTACTTCCTGTTGTAGCGCTGGATGGAATGGTGGAATAAAAGATCACATTGCATGGCCATTATTGGTCAGCTTGCCTCTACAGCGTATTATGTTGTGAAAATACCCTATACAATGCAATGTAATGTTGTATTCACAGCATTACAGCCAATGTATTGGACACATTGTGGTCCCCTTTCCTTGGGCCACACCAATTTAATTTCTTGGTTAACAGATTCGCCCGCTTCATTTTTTTCTGATTTGCAAAAAAAAATAAAAAATAAATTCAGAATCAACTGCAAAATGCCCATATTTTGCCCTGAACAGTTGAAAACAGTCCTTTTTTTTCCTAGTTGCTACAGTTATTCCATCTTTCAATGCAGTGGTATAATTAAAAGTTCAAAATTCATTGTTTAAATTTTGAACCAGCCTGGTGAGTTGACTTCATGGTTCCTGTCGTGCCATTTTGGGCCATAAGAGGATGCCTAGGCCTGTTTTTTTTTTCGCCCGCCCACTCCA